GGGAGATTTCAGCCTCCCCTGCAGGGAATTTCCCGGGGCTTCTTGCCTGGTGTGGCCCCAGAAAATCCAACGCATCCCATTCATTGCCACCCTTGTCCCAGCCAGGGAGGATTTGTCCCCGTTCCCAGGAAAGCAGCACCACAGCCCCAGGAATCACAATGGCAGGAGCCCTTCCTGGGGTGTCCCCGGATGTGTCCCTGGTGTGTCCCTGATGCGTCCTTGGATGTGTCTATGGAGGTGTCCCTGGATGTGTCTCTGGATGTCCCTGGGTGTGTCCCCGGATGTGTCTCTGAATGGGTCCCCGCAGTGTCCAGGAGCTGATGGGGGTCGCCTGGGGATCCTGGGGAGCTTCTAGGGTGGAGCAGGAGCCGTGGTCACTCTGGGGATGTTGTAAGGAAGGAGCCATGGTCACTCCAGGATGTCCTATAGGGAAGGCACTGTGGTCACTCCAGGGATGTTTTAGGGAAGGAGCTGTGGTCATTCTGGGGATGTTTTAGGGCTGGAGCCATGGTCACTCCAGGATATCCCACAGGGCAGGAGCTGTGGTCACTCTGGGATGTTTTAGGGCAGGAACCGTGGTCACTCAGGGATGTTTAAGGTCTGGAGTTATGGTCACTCCAGGATATCCCATAGGGCAGGAGCTGTGGTCACTCAGGGATGTTTTAGGGCTGGAGCCATAGTCACTCCAGGATATCCCATAGGGCAGGAGCTGTGGTCCCTCCAGGGCTGTCCCGTGGCTCTCGGTATCCACCAAGGAGCAGACACCAACTGTGCCAGGGCCAGGCCTGGCCACCAAACTCGGGTGCTGCCCTGCCCTTGTCCCTCTGTTATCTGTCCCCATCACTCGGGTCCCCTCCAGCCCCCCGAGCCCCAAAAGCAGATCCTGATTGCCCAGCTGGAAGGTCCTAATTGCGCTTCCCTCCCCAAAGCCGCCTCCCTTTATCATAAAGGGTGCACATTTCCCCCGCTGCAGCTTCCGCGGCCACAGGCCCCGAGGGCCAGCTCAGAAATGGAGGGAATTAATTACATTTTTTTAACTCCCCTCCTTTTATAGCAGGGGATAGAGCGATGAAACATCCCGGGGGGAGCGGGGGGAGCTGCCGAGGAGGGTGGAGAGGGAGGGAGCAACAGCAGGAGGTGAGGGGGGAGCTGCTGCCTTCATCCAGGAGGGTCTTTGTGCATCAACCCCACACCCCAGGACCTCTCCCTACTCGTTCCCGCTGCAAAGGTGACCTCGGGAATGGCAGCGGACGAGGCCCAAGGCTGCTGGCATTGACTCAAGCCCCGAGTGCGAGCCCATGGTTTGGGCCAGGTGAAGGGAGAGGATGGGGATGGGAGGGAGGGAAAGGGACGGTCCCGCTGTCAGTCCCGCTGATGGACAGCGAGCAGATCCCCCTGCAGATAAACCCCGGCAGATGTGGAGCGGGCATTGATTTTTAGTCAGGGATGATAATGCACCAAGAAGTCATAAATTAGAAGGCAGCAAGGTCAGAGAGGGACGGGAGAAGGACTTTGCATTCTTGAGGAGGGGATCCAGAGTTCAAAAGTGGCCTGGAAAATGAGTTTCTGCAGCTGGAAGGAGCAGTCCAGGCACACGGGCCCAGGAGGGCTCTGCAGGGTTTGCCGTGCTGGGTGGAAGGAGGGAACGGGAATCTCTGGTTCCCACTCGATATTCCAAACCCCTTCGTGTCCTGGGGTGGGGAAAGGTGGATCTGCCCTCGGCTGAACCTGTGCAGAGCTCAGGGAGCTCAGCCCCAAATCCCCCTCAGCCTGTCCGGGAAGGGGATTCTCAGCCCCAAATCCCTCTCAGCCCATCTGGGAAGGGCAGGGGCTTCCCGGCCCCAAATCCTTCTCAGCCTGTTCGGGAAGGGGATTCTCGGCCCCATATCCCCCTCAGCCTGTCTGGGAAGAGGAATCCCAGCCCCAAATCCCCCTCAGCCTGTCTGGGAAGGGCAGGGGCTTCCCATGGTCAGTGTTCTTGGAGAGGGACCGGAGAGTTTTGGGGCTCAGCTGAGCTCTCAGGGTCCCCACGGTCACCCCAAATCCATGGGAACATTCAGCTGGGATGAATCCCCCACCCCAGAGGCAGCCGTTCCCCACCCCGGCAGGGCTGGGAGGGAATCCCGGCATCCTGGTGGATTCCTAGGGGGAAATTCAGCCCTTCCTATCCCCTTCGGGCCCGGCTGAGCTGTCCCTCGCAGGGCAGGGTCCCTGCAGGGATCCCAGAGGGAGAACAGGAATTGGGAACTCTGCAGGGCTGGGAAGGAATCCCGGCGTCCCGACGGATTCCCAGAGGGAAATTCGGTCCTTCCTGTCCCCTTCGGGCCGGGCTGGGCTGAGCTGTCCTTGGCAGAGCAGCGTCCCTGTAGAGACTGGGAGCTCTGCAGGGCCGGGGTTGCTGGAGCCAAGGCCGGCCTGCAGAGACTCCAGGGGCAGAGCTGCTCTCAGAAACCGCTCCTGATTCCCACCCATTAAAGCCAATTCCTTTTTTTAGCGGGATTTGTGGAAGCATCTGTCCCGCTCCCTGAATTTGGAGTGTGAATCTGGGTTTCATTTGCCAGCCTTGCTTTACATCCCCCTTTTTTTCCTAAAAGGAAGTGTTAATGTGGCTCTCCCCGCCTTGGGGAGCCGCTTCTTTGCTCGGGGTAATCAGAAGCAGCTGGGGCACTGCGGGGCCGTGGCCGGGAGGGAGGGAGAGCACAAACCCCGCTGCTCCCCGAGCGATTCCAGCGCGTTAAATCCTCTCTGCACCTGCGGGGCTCGGCTGGGCGGGCTCAGAGCCCCGGCCGGGCAGCACTGCCAGGCCTGGACAGCTCAGGAAGGGCGAGGAGAGAGGGCAGAGCTTCCAGGAATAACTCACAACATCCCCCCCGGCCGTGTTTTCCACTCGTGTTTGTTGTTTTAAACAGCCGGTTCTGCTCGTGAATTCGCTCCAGCCGTGTCCGGGGCTCTGTGTGAGGGTTCTGGGTGTCTCTCAGGACACAGACCCAGCTCCTCCACCTGGGAGATGCTCCAGCTCGGAGCTCTCCCTGAACCCAGGGGATTGGGGCTGAGCCAGACAGGGTTTGTGGACTTTAGGGGGAGCCCACAAATAACTCTGCAGCTGGAAAAGCTCCCAGGCTGCCCTTCCGTGATTTCCCCACTCTGCAGAGCCCGGGGGGGGTCCGTGTTGCACCCCCAGGACAGCTCAGCACCCCAGTCCTGGATTAACCCACTCTCCTGAACATTAAATTTCCTCTCTTCATCCCCAGTCCTTGGGCTGGGGAGCCCCACGGGGATATTTTCAGGGCTGAACATTCCCATGGAAGCACCTCGGGGCTTAATCCCCTGCCCAGAGGCTCTGGAGAGCTGATCGAGGCTCTGCTAAACTCCGTGTGGGGGCAGCTGAGCCGGGTTTAACTTTTGGGGAGCAGCAGAGAAGTCTGAGCTCCGTGCAGGGTGGAAAGCCTGGAGGAGGATGGGTCAGTGAGCCAGGGATGGGGGGGAACGAGCCAGGGATGGGGGGAATGAGTACAGGATGAGGGGTAACAAGCCTGGGATGGATGGCAACGAGCCATGCATGGGGCAGAACGACCAAGGCTGGGGGGGAACGAGCCAGGGATGGGGGGAAGGAGCCCTTCCCTCGCTCAAACCTCACTCCCAGCCCCAGCCCCACACCCAGCCCAGCCCCGCGCTCGGGGTTAGATGGATTTTCCAGGATTTTACCCAACCCCCTCCACCCCCCGCTGCCGAGTTCCCCTCCCGGACAAATTCTCCTCCCGGAGCGGGGCCGGGAGGGGATTTTCCATCCAGGCAAAGCGTCTTTGCAGCGCTCCCGAGCCCTTCCGGGGGGAGGAGGAGATGCTTTAGAAAGCAGAGGCCAGCTCGTGGCTGGGCATTCACCCCGGAGCCCGCTGGGGCAGGGAGGAGGGGCCGGGAAGGTGTCGGGGTGAGCAGGAAGGGGAGCCTCGGCCCCACAAACCCCCCCAGTGTCCTTCCCGAGAATGCAGCCCCGGCACAAAAGCTCACCAGGCCGCTGCTGGCGGATAAAGGGCTCATTTTACCACTTGCCAGGCTCCAAATATTTCCAATTTGCCACTTTAATTGATGTCAATAAGGTTATGCTAAATTCGGAGATTTGGAGCCGCTCGGCATCTGAGCGCCGGCCGGGCCCCCCGAGGTGACCGTCCCCTGTCCCCGCTCCCCCCGCCCCAGCCCGCGGCTCCGACACGACCGAGAGGCTTCAGGAGCCCCGGCCCTTCCCCTGCGAGCCCTTTCCACCCTTAACTCGGAATTACCCCGGGGAAATTCTGCTGATCCCTGGCGGGACCGGGGTCCCCGTGCGAAGGGCAGAGCCTCACCCCCAGCTCAGCCCCGGGAACAAATCTGGCATTTTTGCTGGGGGAAAAAAAAAAAAAAAAAAAAAAAAAAAAAAAGAGAGAAAAAAAAAAAAGAGAGAGAAAAAAAAAAAACACCAACAAAAACCCAATTAGTTCATCTGGTTCAGGTCTCAAAGCAGGAAGATTTTTTGTGTGCAAATTCAATTACATTTTCCACCAGAGCACTGAAAGGAGCCGGACCAGGACCTGTTACCCTTTAACTTTTGAGGGCAAAGAGACCTCGGACGTTTCAGCCCCTGAAGCTGCATCAAAGGCAGCAAGGGTTTCATCTGCTTTGCTTGGGGACCTTGGCAAACCTGACTTCCCAAGAACGGCTAGATTTTTTTCCTCACCGTCCCTTTGGGAAAATCGGGATTTTCCTCCTGGTTTTCCGTGGCCCCTCATCCCTGGCAGGGCAGCAAAAAATATCCCCAAATCCCGAGTGGGCTGAGTGGAATTGCTGCATCCTCCCCGTTCAGGACTCCGAGGGGAGCCCCGGCGGGGTTTGGGGGAGCAGAGCTCGGCTCTCCCGCCTGGCCATCCCCGTGTGGGCTCTGGCCATCCCAAAGCGCCCTTTTGGGGCCGTTTTCGGGGCCGTTTTCCTCCCGCCCGGCCCCTGACGGTACCTCGGTGTCTCTGCAGGTGATGAGCATCCTGAGCAACCCCAGCGGGGTCCCGCCGCAGCCCCAGGCCGATTTCTCCATCTCTCCCCTCCACGGCGGCCTGGACAGCACCAACTCCATCTCGGCCAGCTGCAGCCAGCGCAGCGACTCCATCAAGTCCGTGGAGAGCCTCCCGACCTCGCAGTCCTACTGTCCCCCCACCTACAGCACCACCAGCTACAGCGTGGACCCCGTGGCCGGCTACCAGTACGGCCAGTACGGGCAGAGTAAGTGCCGGGAGGAATTCCCCCTTCCCGGGAACGGCAGGAGCGAGGGAGGGAGTGGGGGTTGGATTTATACACCCGAATTCTGCCTGTTGGGTGGGAGACCTGGGAAGTTTGTCCTGCTGGAAGTGAAATCTGCTCATGGGTTGCTTCTCCCCTCGCAGGCGAATCAAAAGCCCCAGTGAAATGTTTTAGGTGAAATTTTCTGTCAGTAAAAGGCAGCTCCAGCCCCTTCTCCTTGCCCAGAACCACCAGGACGGGCTCACCCTGCTCAGCCGGGGGAAAGCTGGGCTTTGTAAAGCCGAGATGAGCGTGTCCCTGTCTGCCCTGCCCTCTCCAGGCCGGGGCTGGGAGCTTTTCCTGCAGAACGCCTTTGTCACCAGGGCTGGGGCTGGAATCCTGAGCCTGCCCAGGTGTTGTCCCTGCTGGGTGACTGGGACAGCCTGGCCGGAGGATGACAGGAACAGTCTGGTCAGGGGGGTGGTGTCCCTTTCGGGTGACAGGAACAGCCCAGCAGGAGGTGACAGGGACACGCCACTCATGGGGTGCTGTTCTGACTGGACTACAGGGACAGCCTGGCCAGTGGGAGCTGTCCCAGCTGGGTGACAGGAACAACCTGGTCAGGGGGTGCTGTCCTGGCCAGGTGACAGGCACAGCCCAGCCAGGTGATGGGGACAGCCAGGCCGGTGACAGGCACAGCCTGGCAGGAGGTGACGGAGACAGCCCAGCCGGGTGACAGGCACAGCCCGGCTGGTGACAGGGACAGCCTGGCAGGAGGTGACAGGCACAGCCCGGCTGGAGGTGACAGGCACAGCCCGGCCAGTGACAGTCACAGCCTGGCAGGAGGTGACAGGCACAGCCCGGCTGGAGGTGACAGGCACAGCCTGGCAGGAGTGACAGGCACAGCCCGGCCGGTGACAGCAGCCCCGCGGCCCGGGCTGTTCTCACGTGCCGCGTGTCCCCGGCCGCGGGGCCGCTCGGAGCGCCGCTGACCCTCGAGGGTTAAAGGTGCATCCTCTTCCTGCGGGCGCGCTGCCGCTGCCCGCAGCGTGTCCTCGGTGACCTTTCCTCCCTCGGCCGCGGCTCCGGCCCCGCTCTGTCACAGCCCTTTAATGTCCTTAACGCGCGGCCTCAATGAGAACCGGCTGTGGCGGCAGACGGGATCAATAGCGGCCCCCCCGCCCCTCCTCTTTTTGTTTGTCGGGAGTTTGATCTGTGACCCCTCGACCTTCCCCTCGCTTCTGGATGCGGGGCTGGACACACGTGCTATTGATAAAAATCTTAAACAAATTCCGATACCATGTATTTCCAATAAAGATTCCCTTGGGCGAGGCGTTAGTCACACCCATGTGTGTAAAAAATAAAATAAGGGGGCGAGCTGCTTTCGGCAGAGAGGGGGAAGGAGAAAGGAGGGTTTGTCTGGCTTTGCTGCAGGATTTTTTGCTCGAGCTGCGCGCACGGTTTGTGTCGTTTCCCGGGCCCCCCGTGCCCGTTTCTGTCACCCCGTTGGTGACGAGCTCTCTGCAGTTTGCCTCGGTAATTAGCGCTGCCGAGAGCAGCCCCTCACGTGCAGTTGACCTTGGAATAACGACATTTTTTCCTGCCTTTCCCCGTGCCTGTTGTGCTTTGCAGATAATTCCAATTCCTCCTCCTTTTGGGTTCTTCACTTCCCTTCAAATTCTGTTTTAACGCCCGTCGGCGTGAGGTGACCCCACGGGGTCATTTATTCAGATCAGGTGCTCCTTCCTTCTCTGATGCGGCACAAAAGCATCAAAAACTATTTTTAGGTGCATCAAAAACTATTTTTAGGTGATAAAATATATTCATTGCATAACACAAAGTATCATTTGGATCATATATAATGCCACGGTGTATATAATATTATGTCATCAATAGGATATATAATATAATTTAATTAATAGAGATGATATTATAGGAATGGGTGTTATGGGGTTGGGGCAGGCTCTGTGTGACAGGAGACAAACCCAGGGTTTGGGAATCAGAGAATCCCTCTCCTCCCACTTCTCCTTATTCCCAGTTTTACACAAACAAACCCAGCCTCACTTTCCCTCTCACTTAAACAAACAAACACCTTCCGTAAATTTCTGGGTTTATTTTGGCTTCTGCCTCGCTAAACCAACAAACCCCATCCCTGATTTCTGGCCTGGGATCCCCTGGTGCCTGTGGATTTTGCCCAGCGGCACAGCGAGGAATGTTTGGGGTTTTTGGGAGGATGGGATTGCCATCGAATTCCCAGCCTGGCAGGAGGTTGGAGCTGGGGGAGGTCGGGCTCTGCTCGCAGGGAACGAGGGACTGGACAAAAGGAAACAGCTTCAAACAGCACCGAGGAGATTCAGGTTGGATTTTGGGGGAAATTCCTGCATGGAAAGGGGCTCAGGCACGGCATGGGCTGCCCAGGGAGATGCTATCCCTGGAATTGTCCCCAAACATGGATCCAGTGCTCGGAGACAGCGTTTGGGGACAGGCAGTGCTGGGCTAAGGTCTGGACTCGATGATCTCAAGGGGCTTCTCCAAGCTCCCTGACGATTCCAGCATTTTGTGGGCTCCACCTGCTCGCCCCTCTCCTTCCCCCAGGGCCACCCAGCGCGGTGACACCGGGGACAGAGCCGCCACCACACACCCGCAGCGTCCCAGCAGAGAAATCCCTGGAATATCAGTGAAAGTTCTGGATGAGGGCCGGGGGAGGAGCCCTGTGGAAGGCGGAGGGAGCACACCCGGCCCTGCCGAGCTGCTGCTGCTCCCGCTGGGCCATCCCGGGATCCCCCCGCTCCCAGGGCCGCTCCGTCCCGGCCGGCGGGAGCGGGGCCGGCGGATCCGCCGCTCCCAGAGGCCGGGGACGCGTTAATGATGCCGGTGATGGAACGCGGGAGCGTGAAGGGAATTCTAATGGATCTGCCAAGTCTAATCAGGATTGGTGCGTGGAAGGGGCTCCTCTGGGGCCCGCCGCTGACAGGACGTTGATGGCTGAGATTTGTTTACTCATTGGCAGCGATCGGGCAGCTCCTGCCAGCTCCTGATTAATCTAATTGGGGCCATTAGAGGCGCGGAGGGGGACTTTGACTGAAGCTTGGCTAATGAGCAGTGTCACCGTCCTGTCCCAGCCCTGTCCCCTCACCCCGGGGCGGCCGGGGGAGCTGGGACCTGCTGTCCCCTCGGGGCTGGGGCTGGTCTCCCTTTCCAGATGGAAGTGAGGGGAGAGGTTTCCGTGGGATGGAGGGAGGCAGGCAGGGCTCACAGCCGTGAGTCAGCAGTGGCGAGGCAGGTGCGAGCCCAGACCTGGGCAGCCTCCACCTAAATCTCTGGAATCACATCCAGCAGCATCACGCAGAGTGGCAGCCTGGAAGGTTTATCCCAAACCTCCAGGCAGCTCCCTCAGAACCCTCTTTCTCCATGGCAGAATTCCCACTTTTTTCAGGTGTTCATAGAGACAGTCAAGGGCTCCCCTCCCTTCAGCTGTGCTGAGCCCCACAGCAGCTCCTGGCAGTTCCAGCCTGGCTCTGAGCCCTTCCCGGGACAGCAGGAGGTCCCTGCTGTGTGTGACAGCCCTGGGCTGTCCCTGCTGCCCTGCAGCTCCTGGCAGCCCCATCCCAGCTCTGAACCCTTCCCGGGACAGCAGGAGGTCCCTGCTGTGTGTGACAGCCCTGGGCTGTCCCTGCTGCCCTGCAGGACCTGTCCTGCTCCTGGCAGCCCCATCCTGGCTCTGAACCCTTCCTAGGAGAGCAGGAGGTCCCTGATGCTGCCCTGTAGGGCTGAAAGCCTGGTCACTGAGTGTCCCCGTGTCCTCACTGTCCCTTTCCCCCACAGCTGCCGTGGATTACCTGGCCAAGAACGTCAGCCTGTCCACGCAGCGCCGCATGAAGCTGGGCGAGCACTCGGCCGTGCTGGGGCTGCTGCCGGTCGAGACGGGCCAGGCCTACTGAGACCCCCTCGCCAGGGACCTCTGGAGACCCCCGCCGGCTCCCAGGGATCCTCCCTGCCCCGTTCCACCCCAGCTGCCGAGGAGATGGGAGACGGGGGAGCTCTCCCAGGATCCGGCTGCTCCAGAGCATTCCAGAGGCAAGTCCGGCCTCTGGGGCCTGACTCCTCCTGTGGCCAGAGACAATGGGCTGGGTGCATTTATCAACCCCAGTCCAGCCCTCCCTCCAAAGCCCCTGGCCACAGCATTCCCCACACTCCAGGACTTCCCATTCCTAGGTAGCTGGCATAGTCAAAGCCAAATGAGCGCTTTGGGGTTTTGTTTTTTTTCTTTCTAAAGGGAAAAAAAGAGAAATGTTTCATTTTGTTTCCTTTTCTTTCCGTTGCTGTAAATTTGGTGAATGTTGTATAGGAAGGTATAACCCAGCTGAGCATTAAGGGTGATGTAAACCGGGACCACGGAAGACCTATGGACCAAAAATAAGGACTTGTTTAAAAAACAAACAAACAAACTGCAAAGGCAAATGAAAGCAGAAAAACATTCAAGGGACAGCAAATTTCCCCAGCCCAGCCTACCCTCCCTTCTCACCGTTGGCTTCCCAAAGCAGGGCCGGACGGGCCAGATCGCTGCTAAGCAGGGCTGGGGTGGAATTCCAGCCAGTCTGGGACCTTTGGGAAACGTGAACAGCTGCAGGAGGAGCGGAGAGGAAGGGCACGGGTGACACTCACTGCTCCTCTGAGGGACAATCCGGACACGAGTGTCACCGCCAGGACACAGCAGCAGAGCGGCGGCAGCGGGGACAGCGCTGGCCTGGCACGAGGAGGGGCTGCAGACACACCCCAGGGACACGGGGCAGGGATACTGGTGGCCCTGCTGCCCCTGAGCTGACCACGGGAGCAAAGACAAGAGGGCAGGGCCAGGAACTCACTGAGCAGAGCCAGGTCCTGCCATGGGAGTCACCTGGAAGGGAACGGAGCTGAGCCTGGAGGTGCTGCCCTGCCCAGGACGTGGAGCCAGGACAGAGGAGCTGAGGGGTTTTTGTAGCAGCCAGGACAGGAAGGGGCTCCAGCTGCCCCTCTCCACACTGCAGGGATGAGATTCGTCTTCCTGAGACATTCCCTGTTCTCACTGCTGGGAGAAAGCTTTGCTCCATCCATCCCTCCATCCATCCATCCATCCATCCATCCATCCATCCATCCTCCACCATCCATCCATCATCCATCCATCCATCCATCCATCCATCCATCCATCCCTCCATCCATCATCCATCCATCATCCATCATCCATCCATCCATCCATCCATCCATCCATCCATCCATCCATCATCCATCCCCAGCCCAGTCCCACATTCCCTTTTTCTGCTGCTGGAGCCTCTCTCTCATTCCCCCCTAAGTCAGATCCTGTTCTCTGAATTTCTCCCCCCACTTTTCTCCTCTCCTGCCTTTGTGTCACCTCCTGTCCCTGCTTGGACAAGCCCAGCCAGCACCCCCAGGTCACTGCTGAGATGTCACCTCCTGGGGTGACACATTTCCCTTTTGGTTGATCCTTGGTGATCCCTGAGCATTCCCAGTGGGGCAGAGGTCACCCATCACCTCCCCGTGCCAGGTCAGGAGGTTTGGCCTGGAGAGGGTCAGGACAGCTGGCCCGGGATGAGGCAGGAGCTGAGGTGTGAGAGGCGTGGTGGCCACGGGCAGAGTTCAGTGTCCCCCTCATGAGCAGAGTTGTGTCCCCCATGAGCAGAGTTGTGTCTCCCACAGGCAGAGTTTGGTGTCCCCTGTGGGCTGTCAGGTTTGTGATGCCTTCAGATCTCTGCTTTCACAGCAATTCTCTGCCTTTGTGCACTGAGGGACCCCGTGGCTGCTCCAGGTTGCTGAAGGAGACTTCCCTGGTTCTCCCCTCTCCTGCCCTTCCCGAACCAGCTGGAATGTTCTGGCAGCTGGAACATCTCCCTGGGCTCTTCCCCTGCCTGGTCCCCTCCCCATTCATCACAAGCCACCAGGCCATTGTCCCTGCAGCCATCTGGACCAACTCACCTGTCCTGGATTCCCAGTGTCCCAGCAGAGCCACACGTGGCTCCCATCAGCTTTGCTTCCCGCCTCCGGCAGAGTGGGCTCCACATTCCCAGAGGGATTTCCCTGCACCTCTGTCATGCAGGAGCTGAACCCAGGTGACTCCTGAACCCACAGGCTCGGTGCTCCAGAAATCCTCGTGTCACGCACGGAGCCCAAACATTCCCTGGATCACAGAGTTTGGGAGCAATTCCATTCCCACCTCCTCTCCCAGGGCACCTGCGGCCAGCGAGGCTGAAGGGACACAGAGGGGACACAATTTCCAGAGGGGACAGAGGAGCCCCAGTGCCCTGGCCTGCCCGGGTGACCCTGAGGCCTCTCCCTGCTTTGCTCCAGAGATCTCAGGGAGCAGCGAAGCCTCTGCTGGTTCGTGGTGTTTGTGCTTCAGAGCATTGGAAGAAGCAGAAAACCCTGCAGAATTCCGGTCCTGGCTGAAATGTCATTCCCAGCAGGAGCCTCAAAGGGATCAGGGCATCTCCAGGCAGCGATGGAAGCACCTGCTGGAATTCCTCTCAGCACCACTCACAGCCAGTGCTAAAACAAGAGATTTCCTGATATTTAACAATATTTCTGACCATCCCCAGCTGGGAGCACCTTCTCGCCTGCACTCTCCTCTTCGCTGCTGGCATTCCATCCTGTGCCAATCCCTCCTCTTCGCTGCTGGCATTCCATCCTGTGCCAATCCCTCCTCTTTGTCACTGGAATTCCATCCCGTGCCAATCCCAATTCCATCCTGTGCCGATCCCTCCTCTGTGCCGCTGGAATTCCATGCCGTGCTGATCCCTCCTCTGTGCCACTGGAATTCCATCCTGTGCCAATCACTCTTCTTTGCTGTTGGAATTCCATTCCATGCCGATCCCAGTTCCATCCCGTGCCAATCCCTCCTCTGTGCCGCTGGAATTCCCAGCCCAGCGCCCTCCTCGCTGCCTGCCCAGCTGCAAGGAAAGGCTCCATCATTCCCCGGGATCTCTTGGCTGCTGCTCCTGCTCTTCCCTGCTCTGTCACCTCCCCTCCTCACCCATGGACAGCTGGGCCTGGCCGCCTCACCCAAGGGCAGGGCCCCAAAAAAACCCCAAAATTCAAAAGAGGGAGCACTGCAGAAACCTCTCTGCCAATCCCCTTCCCCAGAAAGTCCGTGGGCAGCCGGGCACTGCTGTAAATAGAATTCCTAGAGGAATGAAATAGCTCTTCTCTGACCTTCCCCTCGTGGTCGCACTTTGTACATTTAGTTGGGAAATTTGGTCATGTGCTGTATGTTTATCTCCCTGCTTTGCTCCAGAGATCTCACAGCGAAGCCTCTGCTGGTTCGTGGTGTTTGTGCTTCAGAGCATTGGAAGAAGCAGAAAACCCTGCAGAATTCCGGTCCTGGCTGAAATGTCATTCCCAGCAGGAGCCTCAAAGGGATCAGGGCATCTCCAGGCAGCGATGGAAGCACCTGCTGGAATTCCTCTCAGCACCACTCACAGCCAGTGCTAAAACAGGAAATTTCCTGATATTTAACAATATTTCTGACCATCCCCAGCTGGGAGCACCTTCTCGCCTGCACTCTCCTCTTCGCTGCTGGCATTCCATCCTGTGCCAATCCCTCCTCTTTGCCACTGGAATTCCATCCCGTGCCAATCCCAATTTCATCCTGTGCCGATCCCTCCTCTGTGCCGCTGGAATTCCATGCCGTGCTGATCCCTCCTCTGTGCCACTGGAATTCCATCCTGTGCCAATCACTCTTCTTTGCTGTTGGAATTCCATTCCATGCCGATCCCAGTTCCATCCCGTGCCAATCCCTCCTCTGTGCCGCTGGAATTCCCAGCCCAGCGCCCTCCTCGCTGCCTGCCCAGCTGCAAGGAAAGGCTCCATCATTCCCCGGGATCGCTTGGCTGCTGCTCCTGCTCTTCCCTCCTCTGTCACCTCCCCTCCTCACCCATGGACAGCTGGGCCTGGCCGCCTCACCCAAGGGCAGGACCCCAAAAAAACCCCAAAATTCAAAAGAGGGAGCACTGCAGAAACCTCTCTGCCAATCCCCTTCCCCAGAAAGTCCGTGGGCAGCCGGGCACTGCTGTAAATAGAATTCCTAGAGGAATGAAATAGCTCTTCTCTGACCTTCCCCTCGTGGTCGCACTTTGTACATTTAGTTGGGAAATTTGGTCATGTGCTGTATGTTTATAGAAAGTTGACTTTTTTTTTATATACTAAGAAAAAAAAACAACCTACAGTGAGTGACGTGCTAGTTAAAAAAAAAGAAAAAAAAGAAAAAAAAAGAAAAATGTAAAATTGTTTTTAAAATAAGGAAAAAAGGGGATGGGGGGATGAACTGTAGAAATTTGCCTATTGTGTGTTTTCAAAAGACATTCCAGAATCTTCGGGGTGGGATGGGGTTGATTTCGGGCTTGGGTTGGTTTTTTTTTGCTTTTGTTTTGTTTTGTTTCTTCCTTTTGTTCATGTATGAAAGTCAAAAGTAACTTTTGGTTTTGTTCTGTTGGTTCAGTTTTGTTTCATGGATTGCCAACCTCAGCTCTGCTAACGAGAGACAAATTTGGGGGGTGGGTGGGACGGGGAGGGGACACAGCAGGGGAGGGCCTGGAGCTGGGACAGGACAGAGCGTGAACAGCGGGACAGCAGGAACCTGGCTGTGGGCACCTGGGGCCACCAACGGGGACTGAGACTGGAGAGCTGGACAGCAGGAACCTGGCTGTGGCCGCCTGTGTCTGCCTGGGGCCACCAAAAGGGACCAAGCCTGGAGAGCTGGACAGCAGGAACCTTGGTGTGGCCACCTGTGTCTGCCTGGGGCCACCAAAAGGGACCAAGCCTGGAGAGCTGGACAGCAGGAACCTTGGTGTGGCCACCTGCGGCCACTAATGGGGACCAAACCTGGAGACCCTGACAGAGAGAACCTGCCTGCAGCCACCTGCAGCCACCAACAGGGACCAAGCTTGGAGAACTGGACAGCAGGAACCTGGCTGTGGGCATCTGGGGCCATCCAGCAGTGACCAAGTGGATCCTCAGCTGCTGCTGACTCTGGGGGACCAAAAATCACGCAAAAAGCAGAGCAACAGTGACCAAGGGACATGGCCAGAGATGGACATGTCTGAGATGGACATGTCAGAGACAGACACAGCCAGAGATGGCCACATTCCAGAGATGGACACAGCAGAGATGGACATGGCCAGAGATGGACACATCAAGGATAGACACAGCTGAGTTGTTGAGTTGGCCACAGCAGAGATGGATACAGCCAGAGTTGGACACATTCCAGAGATGGACGCTTCAAGGATGGCCACAGCCAGAGATGGCCACAGCAGAGATGGACACCCAGGAATGCTCTCCCAGCTCCACCGTTCTCCCAGGCCTGCCAGTGACTCCTGCCCTCCTGGGGGACAGCACTGACCCCGAGGGGCTCCTTTGCCCCCCCAGCCCCATCCCGCCCCAGCACGGCCGGACTGGGCCCGGCCACCGCAGCAGATCGGGTCCTTTGGGTCCTTTGTGTATTTAACGCTTCTAACCCGCCCTCCCCGGCACCCCACGGGTCCCCCTAAGCTGTAGGGCACCCCCTGTCCCCGTTCCTGCGGGATCGTCGCTTCTGTGTTCGCCTCATCGCCATCTGCTCCGGGCCGTGGGTGTGTGCGCGCCGGGTGTGTAAATACGGAACCGCACCATAATTTATTCAGCTATATGGAGTAGATTTAGTAGGAAGAGAAACTGGTTTTGCTTTAACTACCTGCTGCCTGTAGGTGTCTTTCTGTAACTCAGGCATAACTGTTATACATTAAAAAAAAGAAAAAAAAAAAAAAAAGAAAAAAATCAATTCCAAGTGCCTTTGGGTTGTTTGCATAGCAGCATAGAGGGAGGAGAGCCTCGGGGATATCCAACACACAAAGCAGGGGAATTCCAGCTGTTTTCCCTCAAAAGCCGGGCAAAATCCGGCTCTGGTTCGTGGCAAGGTGGAGAAACCGGGCAAATAAATAAAACCTTGAATTACACCGCGGCTCCGCGCAGCGCGGGGACGATTCCCCGGCTGCCCGCAGCAAGCCGAGCCTTCCTCCATCGGTTCGGAGCAGCCCGGGCCGGCTCCGCGGGCACCTGGCTCGCGTTAAACACCGGGGCCAAGCAGAAAAATATTCCCAAAGGGT